TCCCCCACACCCCTGGCCAGCTTCCAAGACCTAGCGCTCGGGCAGTCCCCACATGTGCACACCCAACTCCCCGACCCCTGCCTCTCACACACCCCCTACCCCCACCACACACAATATACAAAATCAAGACTTTATTTTGAGCTATTATGCAATCGCCTCTGTATATGCTACTCAAACACACACAAATCAGGACTAAAATATTTTTTGAAATATAATTAAAATCTTACAGATGTTTGATTTTCAGTATATGACTTGCTTTTTATCTATACTTTGTTGAAATGATTTCTCCTGAAAGATTTTATTTGGTGCCATTCTCGGGAGGTCTGATGCCACCGAAACCCCCACCAATAGGTTAAGGGTGATGGGGCTGGTTGTTAGAGGGGTCACAACCCCTTGCTACCTGATTGGTCATGCCTGTGCTTCGTGACCTACAAGGCAGAACTTCTGGGGCCCCAAGAGCAGGCCATGCACCATGAGGGTGGTGTTTCTCAGTCAAGTGTTTCCCAGGCAAAGGGTGGATTTTCTGATGTCTGGGACCATGTGATGGGGGCAGGGGATTCTGGGACCTACATGGCAGTGAGCAGAGCAAGGTTTGGTGTCAGGTGGATAGGGCTTCACAGTTTGATCAAGAGTGCGCAGCTTCAATTGATGTGTATTACTCTATATCAGAATTATGATGGCTATACTTTGCTGTATCCAAATGAATGACTCAAGTGGATATGAACTTTATAGATTACCATTTTGGTGACTCATGCTGCCCAAAGTAATTCAATTCACTGTACCCACAATGCCTTTGAAGAGCCATTCTTTAGCACCATTCCAGTAAAAGACTGAGAACTTGAACCTGTATGCATGCAGCCTTCTATTCCTTAACAAACAGAAATTTAATTCTCCGAGTCCATCAGGCAGTCATGACCCAGAAAACTGTCAAATGTCCTAGTCAGCTTAGTTTTAAAGGGTTTATTTTTCACCAATTTATAAACATAAGAACTTAAGCAACATCCCTAAACAGATGCAATGGGAAACAATTATTAGACACTGAGTTATACTAAAAGCCAGGAGGCAAATGCATGTGCAAGTAATGCATTATATTCTCCTCTCATGGACCAAAATGTGTTTTCTTATAAATTCTTTAGTAACCAAGCTTGAACTGTGCACAAAAATTGTGAGACCAGTGACTTAGTCTAGATTTGCCTGAACTATTTCTTTGGTACTTATCAGGAACCAAATCTGAGGGCCAGATTTCTTGATGGTAATTTGGAAAACATATAGAGTTGTGCCTCAAATCAAAGGATGGATTGACATATGTAGGGTTTTCTCCTCTTTTGTACAATAATTTTAATGTTTCTTAACAGGCGTGTTCTTTTCTATGACAGAGAGCTCATTTCCAACAGTTGCATGAAGGCTCAGATTCAGCAAAGCACATGAAATCAACTGGACTATTCCACATGCTTAAAAACCTACATGAACTTAAGTGCTTTGCTGGTTTTGCACCAAACCCCACTGAAGCATTGGTGACGCGAAGGGGGTGCAGGCGGGTGCACATGTATCCCTTGAGTGCGACGGTGCACCCCCTGCGAAAAGGCGCCACTGACACTGCTAGCAGCGTCTGTGGGTGGTCTGTGATTGCCAGTGGTGTCTGCGGGTGGTTGCTGACCATTGATCAAAGCTCACCCCCTTCCCCCTTGCTGACAGTGCTGCGGCTGCCTGCAGGAGCTCCCTGGTTGCCACCGCCATGTTCCCCCCGCCACCACTGCCAGCGCCACACTGCCTGTAGCAGCTCACCGTGCCCTCCCAGCCTCTGTGGGCACACAGCACTCATGCACTGAAGTAAAATAAATGAAAAAACTCTCACCAACTTCAATGTGCATTGCTTGGTCAGGTTCTAAGTCCCCCGTGGCTTTGTTTACAGCTTCTAATAGAATTTTCAATTAGTTTGCTGCTAAATATAGGCTTAGTAGACAATTCTTATTCACTATCAATAATTATACTAGTCAGGGCAACAGGCCTTCAACCAGGGGTTAAAGAATTGCCTAACACAGTGGATCAAAGCAAAGAAACAAAACTGTTAAACTTCTTATATAATTTTTTATTAAATGTATGCAATATAAATACAAAGAAGAAAATAATTAAACATACATTTATGGGAGAAACTGACTCCTGCTGTAACTTCAAAAGAGTACTGAAAATATACAGTTCCAAATTTACAAAATACTTGCATGCAGGTAGTTCCATTACATTCAGTGGAATGATTCATAAGTGTACATTTCCTTCTGTGCACAAATGTTTGCAAGGTATTGGAGCTATATCTTAACTAGTATATATATTCTGCAGTTGTGAGCTGATGAGAGTTTTCTTCATTTATGGTTTCTGCCAAAGGGCCTGATACATTTGAAGCAAAGAAAAATTACTTAAAATGTATTAAATCCTACAATGTTATAATATAGAAATGGAAACAAAGGGAATTATTTAAATTCTTCGCTGTAATATTTATAAAACAACTGCAGCCAAAAGTTCAAGGCACTGCATGATACATAGATAGCTACTGTTATGCAGAATTCTTTGAATTATTGTTGAATTTTACAGGTTACACACTAAATATATTTTATTTTTAAAAATAACACTTACACTTATAGAACATGAAATACAGTTTTAACAGCTGGTCTGTATTTAGCTTGATATGTTACTTATGTTCTAGAAATATAATGAAGCTATAGATGAAAAGAGACAACTTCTTAATCCAGTTAAATCATGTTAGTCATGTTAAATCAATAATTCAGGGAGCAGCTTCATCTCTGAAGAGTTATGCTTCTGAACTAGAAGGGACAGGCTTAGTTATTAAAAGTTCTTTTGTGTTAGTCTGCCTGTCACCTCTATGCAAAAAAGATGCCATCTCTGGAATCTGAGAGAAATAGTTTTTTGCCAGAACATGTTTGTGCTTTATCCTATGAATAAACACCATTTCATAAGCCTGAAAGTAAAAAAAAAATGCAAGTTCCATTAAATGCAAGCAAAATCTCTCAACCTACCTGTATATGTTGCTACATATTCTAAGCATAAATACTGTATTTGCTAACTGCCTACTATCTAACAAATTAAACTAGAACATTTGAATTCATATACGTTATTTAATGACTGTGCAGCAGTCATAAGACTTGATACTTGGTATATACTACAAATTTGTGCTAGCATAGACATATCAGCTCAGATGCATGCTCAAAAAGATCACAACCACCTGTGTATGTAACTTGCTAGTATGTACACCTTTTCCCTTAGGTGTGGATGCCATTACAGAGAGAGAAGAGGGCTTCTGCCAGCTTAGTTTCTATAATCTGGGGGGTATAGTAGAGAAGATGACAGAAAAATACCCTTCTATTACCATGCATAGCATCTCCATTAGGGGCTCTGTGGACAGCTAGCTCTGCAGCCCCATAATATAGACAAGCTCTGAGTCTGGAAGGTACTGAGTGCCTTCAGTGAATTAATAACCTCTCTGTCAGGTTAGGAAAAAAATAAGAAAGCAATGGGAGTGTAGGGCATCCCACACATCACCAAAAGCACATGCATTATATGTTTACATTAGGGCCTGCCAGATGTTACATTTGTCACATAATTAATGCACTACTTGTGCAATAAACTGTAATATGCCACACATGTAAGGAGTCTATCACATGACAAAATGGCAAACCAGTCAAAGATGTTAATTGTTAAATGTGGAACGTCATTGTGTCTGGTTTGGATCATTCTTTAATTTGAATGTGTGGCATGTACATGATCCGTTCTCCTTCTCCTACCTCCAAGGGGACAGGGGGGAAGAGTCACTGGCTCCCTGACAAAGTTTGCAGACTGCCCTGTCCTCATTGCTACCTAGCAGCAATGGCAACAGGGCTGTAGGGGCAGCCCTTTAGAGTTCTGGGCATGTGGGGAACCTGGGATCTATTCCCCAATTCTGGGCTCCTCATAGGCTGGCAAATGTAAAGGGTGTGCTAGGCAGCCCAACATCAAAGAACAGTGCTAAGTTTCCAGAGCACCAGCAGACAGGTGATGGGATCTGAAGAACTGTACCCCAAATCCTAAATGTTACATGTCCTACTAGGGTAACTAGGCCATATCTTGCATACAGGTTGCCCTCGATTTATGCTGTACATGCGTTCCTGGAGAACGGTGCATAAATCAAATTTGCATAAAGCGAACCTACTTTACAATGTAACAAATAGGGATAGATTGCCATGGCGGTGAGGAAGGGAGGGAATGAGGTTGGGACTAGGGAAGGGGCTAGGGGAGGGGTGCTACTCCCGGGACTACACAAGGTAGCAAAGCAGAGGGATCAGAGCCGCACTCACCCCAGCCCTGGCTGCAGCAGCCCCAGGAGCGGCTGGTGCTGGTGGCAACTGCTGGGTTGCACCGTGCTTCTCCTGTCCCCACTCACCTCTGCTCCTGGGCTGCGCTGTACCCTAGTGCAGGCAGCTGGTGTCAGCTGCTTCCAGGGACACTGCAGCTGGGGCTGAGGTAAGTGCTGCACCCCATACTGCCCAGGGCTCTGCTTGTCCGTACTCACCCCAGGCTGTGCTGGAGAGGCTCCAGGAGCAGCCGACACCAGCTGCCTGCACCACAGCGTGGCACAGCCCAGGAGCTGGGGTGAGCCCAGGCGTGAGGGGACAGGTGGAGCACAGTGCAGCCTGGCAGCTGCAGGCAGTTGGCACTGGCCGCTCCCAGGACTGCTGCAGTCAGGGCTGGGGTGAGTGGGGCCACGGCCTTTCCCCTCCCCCCACAGACTTACCTGCTTGGGCGGGGAGCATCTATGCCGATCGCATAGAGTGAATTTACCTTGCATATAATGAATTATGGGTCTAAATATGCTCATCGTGTAAGAGTGAATTCGCATATAAAGAACCCGCATAAATCGAGGGAAACCTGTATTGGGCATGGCAAGACATACAATTTTTGGAATCTGGAATAAAATTCTTGAGATTCCATTGAACAATTAAATTAGCATCTGTCAAGGGCAGGAAAAGGATCAAGAAGAGACTGGCAGTGCTTACAAGTCACGTGTTGTGAAGGTAATGGATAAAGGATCTGTTTCTTGATTGGAATTGGTCTGAGCCTTTGTAAGTGCTCATTAGGGCATATCATCTTAAACATTTTTGTAGCATTTTATTCAGAGTATGTTTTGAACCACTCTGTATTCTAGAAGTTCACTCATCCAAAATTCTGCAAACTGAAAACTCTTAAAATTATATTCAATATGATACTGTCATAATTATATTAAATACACAAAGGGCTCTGTGTGGTAATTGAAGCAACCCTGGAATTTCAGTTTTGGGACTGCAGTTCAATCTAGACAAGTGTCCCTAGATGACATTAGTCAAACTTTTGCTCAATTCCTACTGATTAGTAACCCTGCATCCTAAACAAATTTACTGATATTAAATCCAATTCAGGTCTCTTGCTTGCTGTGTTCTCATCAGTAATAGGTGAAAAGCTGTACATTTTATTTCTATTTACTGTCAAGCAAATGACACCTTAAAACATAGTTTAATATCTTCCCTATTTTCATTTATTTGACATTCATTTCTGCAGAAACAAGAAGTGGCCACCAGCAGCAAACAATGGACCTCAACTACTAATGATCTACTTAAAATATGTAAAAGAAGTGCTTTAAAATGAAGCAACATTTTTTTTTATCTATTTGGAAAACTTTATCTGTTCCTATTCTGGCATGACCTCTATGTCCATTAAAAAAAGTAAGTCAATGTTTTGGTAGAATTAAAGTTCTTTCTCTAGTCATTTTCAATATTCTCCACCAGCTTATGCAGTAATAGTTCTGAAAACCAGATAAAGATTTTTAGGAAGCTTGACTTCAAATTTAAAAGGGAAGTAGTTACAGAAAAAAGGACAACTCCTTTAGGGTTTATAGCGAGCAAGCTATAGAGACTGTGTCACACTGAATTTTGCATTTAGAGAAACAGAAGCATAATTGTATAATATCACCTTAGTTATACTGACTTATAACTAAGAGCACCGCAGGAAGTACAGTATTGGGCACCAGTCCATGATGCTATGCTTCTAGCAATGTCCATCAGTTGATGGCCTCTGCATGTAAGCAACCCAAAACCCGCACGGTGCTGCACTGTGCTGCTGTCAGCCTGCTAATGCTAATGACATTAATTGTGTTAGTGTAACATCTGCCAGGGGCCTACATGAACAAAGGTTCTGCTGAGAAATCAGACTGCCTTTTCAGTTTTGTTGATTTAATGTGGAAGAGACGATTCAACAAGAGAGTTTCCTCTTCCAGCATGAAATGTCTTTTATCTTTTAAAAAATTATGCTGACTAAAAAGGTGTCTGAATGATTGTTCTGAAAGCCCAAGCTGAGGCACACACAAAAACTGTGCAACAGGCAGCAGCAATACAAGTTTCTCCAACCATTCTTCAACTAGTCTGTCCATTTATGTCATTAAGAGAGTAATTCTTCTCCATGTCTCATACTCTCTAAGAAAGATGCCAGTTAGATGTTAAATTAAAGGTGCAATGAGATCTGATACACGGTCCCAACAATTGTGCTTCTGGCTATGCTACGATTGTGGAATTGAGCTTCAGATCCCACTGCAACCTTATTGCCAGTACAGGGGAACCTGGGACCATGTGCTCTCTGGGAGCCCCGATCACCTGACGGGCACTCCCAGTGTCTAGAGCACTTGGGAGTCTTCAAGGGCTCCAGCAGGTTCCAGAGACTGGAAGCACTGGCCATACACCATTCAATTAGAAGTGTGATAGGAACCACCCACAAATTTATTATACATATTTTGAGTAATAACTTTGTAGCTTATTCTTTGTTATCATGCCATTAATAGAACGAACAAGTAGCTATGTTGCTACTTAAGACATGATTAACCATTTAATTACATCTTAAGTGTAACACCTGTCAGGGGCCTTAGTGTCAACAGAAACTTTGCTTTGTGATACTGACATGTGTCATTAGGAACTAAAGTGAGACTACACTGACCACCAAACAGACATTGCATGGCAATGACCATAGGTCACTACCAACATAAATCAGTAACCTAGAAGAGAAAAACACTGTAATCCATTACCAATCACCTGGCATATATAGATATTAAGAAATCTCCTGAGTTTTAGAGTATTAAATATTCCACTCCATTAAGTCCCCATAGCTATAATGTGGGACTCGTTAAATTACTGTACCTTTAGACATAAAACTTTTGACAAAATTTAAGAGTTTCATGGATTTCTTTAAACAAAAAATATTTTCTCTTTAACTGAGAAAAGCAGATTTGTAACATCCTCTACTCAGAAAAGCAAATTTTTTTTTTTACAGTTAATTGTACACTATAACAAATAAGTGACACTTAAATGGTATGCATCTAAAAATGACATTTAGAAAAGCTTGTACATGGTGAATGCTTACTAAGATTTAAACAGAAACTAATCATTACATACAAAATTTTGTTCTTATTAAATAGATTTAATGAAACAAGGTGATCACAAGATCCTATTAAATGTAAAACATACTGTAAGAAAAAATGAATGTGTTCCGTTTTACCTCCTCAAGGCTGCTCAGCTTAAGATGTGCCTTCGCTTCATCTTCGGTGAGGAGGATAGTATTCCATGGAGACCATTCATAATGTTTATCCCATCTAACCATGACCAAATCATAAAGGTCATTGCAGGCACTAAGAGCTGATTGACAACCCCATATGTTCTCAACCATGTACTGAAGATCTTGTTGCTATAATTTAAAAGAGGTTTGAAAAGAACAATAGTCTTTTATTGTAACAGAAAACAATAATAATAAGCACTTTACCTACCCACCCTTTAGAGAAGACTTTGAATTCAAATGTTCTGTGCACATACTAGAGCAATAGTTTGCAATCGTTTGGACTTGAGGCACCCCTCACTGGACTTGAGACACCCCTTCATAACTTTTGTGAATTAAATGGCATCAAATTTCAAAAACTAAATTTATATGTTACAGTGCTATCTCCTTGTAAAGGAACCAAACAGTGGGAATGGGGGATTGAGCAGGCAGAGAATCTTGAGCCTGCACTTATCTACTTGTCTCCTTGCACCTCACTGCACCCTTCGAAGGAAGTGGTAGTACCCCAGGGTCCCGCAGCATCCTAGTTGAGAATCACTGTGCTAGAGAATGATTTTAGCTAGAGAAGAGGAAACATCTATTAAGTCATCATTAAGCTCTTCTCCCTACAGTATTGTACAGAAGCATTAATTGAATTTTTCCTATACCATCTTTAAAAGATTAGATTCTTAGATACTCTGGATTAACCTTTGCTGATGGCAATTTTATATCTTCCCTTGACAGTTTGCTCAATTGTTTAACTGCGCTTATAATTATCAAGTTTCTTCTGTTTAATCTAGGCTTTCCTGGTGCTGTGATACACCTATTTGTTTGGCTTTTGCTTATTAACAACAGCAACAGTTCCTTAGTATGTATTAAATTTCTTCTTATCGACATTTAGAGTCCAAAATTAATTTTCATTTAACAACAACATTTGCTTCTGTTACATATTACTGAAGTTTACACATCATCAACATAACCTGAGCTGCAAAAGACGAAAGGCAATTGGACGAAATCTACCTGGCCTACCCTAAATATATTCTGATTGGGTTAACATAAAAAAGCCTTCTCCCCACTTCCCTCCCCCCCGCATACATGAAAGATTCTGCTCTTTTTGCTT